TACCACCATCATATCCTCACTATCCAGCATGACTACAGCAGTCTTTCCTTAGGCATTAGGCACTCATTGCTTTTGCTTTGTGTTGTTTTGCTTCTGTGGCACCAGGGATTGAATTGAAGGAGCATGGAGCTACATTGCCAACTGACTTTTCTATTTTGCATTTTTTGAGACTTTCCCAAGATGCTCTCAACCTTGCAATCCTCTTGTTTCAGCCTCCCCAGTAGCTGAGATTAAAAGGTGTGTACCATGGCACTCAGTTCAGATGTTATTTATTTTATTTTATTTTTTATGTATTTAGCACAGGGTCGCACTACACAGATTGGACTTGTAGTGATCCTCCTGTTTTTTAGCCTCCCAAGCACTGGGATTACAGGTGGACACCACCATTCCCAGCCTTAGTCCCCCTCACAATGCACCCTGGGGACAGCCAGGGATCAAACCCCAGTCCCTGCATCTGCCTAAGCAGGTACTTCAGTCCGCTAAGCTATCTGGTCAGGCCCCAGATGTTATTTCTTGATAGCCTTTTCCCCCTCTTTTTCCATTTGGTGCTTGTCCTTATGGGTTTTTCTTTTTCTCTATTTCTGCTCATGCCCAAAAATTTAAAAAGATTTTTGTTGTTTCTGTTACATTTGAATCAGAAATGCCACCCCCAAAGTCTCGTATGCTCAAAGGGGGAGCGTTCAGAAGGCAACTGCATTGTAAGAGCACTAACTTCCCTGGTGGATAAGTTCACAGCTGTATGTGTTGTCAAGTAGTGGGGCCTGAAAGAAAAAAAAAGTAGTGGAGCCTGAGTGGAGCAGCTGGGTCACTGGGGAGTGGCCTAGAAGGGTATACTTTTGTCCCTGGTCCCTTCCTCTCTCTCTGGCTCTTTCTCTCCCCATCTTTCAGCTTCCTGGATGCCAGTGATTCAATAGCTTTCCCTCACTATGACTTTCTATGATGTCATTTTCTGCCTCTGAGCCAGATAACCATGGTTGAAACTTCTGAAACTAGGAGTCAAAATAAGCCTTTGCTTGTTTACATTGTGTGTGTCTACTATTTGGTCCCAGTGACAGAATGCTGGCTGGAGTACATTGTATATTTGTGTCACAAGTGAAGTAGGAGTCTCCAACAAACCCAGAAAGCTCCAACTTCACCAGAGAGGAATCCTGATGAGTTTTCGGAGGCCTATAGAGTGTTTGCTACCTAAAGGGAAAAAATCCTCCCTTCATTTGTCCATGGGGAAAGGTCAGTTTCCGCTCCACCTGGCCTATGGTTATGCACAATGGATGGATATTCCCACATCCTCCACGGAGAGTTTTACAAGGGAAATCATCAAGCACATGTTTTGGAAACAAAACTCCTAAGTGTTATGAATGAAGTGTATCAGTCATCATCTTCCCACCCATCCCCCTGTTGCAGCCCAGGGGCCAAAAATCACTTCTTGCCTTGAAAATAATCTTTTCAAGGACCAAGTCCAAGAGAATAAGAGAACTGGTTGCCACAGGCCAGGTTTCCTATTATCTAAGGTCAATGCTGACTTGAGACAGGAAACCCCACATCCTGAAGTCTTATTCACAATCCATAATAGATGATGATCTTGGAACCCACATCAAGCAAAGGAGTCAGCTATGTACCTTCTGGCAAAGATGCAGGCCTGGGATTCAATTTGAGCGGTTATAACATAAAATAATAAAGTCTGAACGCAAACAGTGAAAGCATACAACTACCCCAGTTCAGAGAGTGCCAAAGCTGACCTAATAATTAGACATTTTTCATGTTTCAGTAAGGAACTTAATTGGCATTTTGTGGGACCCCGCTGGATGAGGGCTCACAGAGTCAGCGCTGGCACAGAGCCCATGTCCTGCTCCCCTGGCAGTTCCCCATCTTCCCCATTAGCTCCAACCACATGGAGAAATGAGAGCAGGGCAGAATGAGACACCTTCCCTTTTTCCAAGTATATTGGAGTCCACCCAGGAAAAAGCAGGGCAGGCTGATGAAAAGTGTAGGCAAGTGTTTCCAGCCCCTCGCTGTGTGCGCAACCAGGGAAATATGAAAACCACAGTCATTTAAGCAGCCATTTATAGTTTACAAGTGCTTTTCAAATGCATTCTCCAAATCCTCATACAAAGTGTTAGGAACCTACTTTTATCGTCCTCTTTTTACATGTACATAAAGGAGGCTCAAGAGTGAAGGGACGACCTAAGGATGAACAGCTAGTAGGTGTCAGAAATAGAGCTAGACCTCGTCCTTCTGCTTCTCATACTTACACTGTGGCTGCCATCCCTTGACCCAGGGATCTGTGAGCTGAGCTGATCTTCTGCTTCCTGTCTATGCCATCAAGGCCAGGAGCTTGGAAAATGTCCTGATAGAAATTTTATTCTTTCATGTTCAGGCCAAATATAAGATTATGTTTTGGTTATGGTGGGAAAACCTGTTTCTCCTGCTCCACTGTGTCAGATAAGATAGTGGGCATAAAATTGATATTTCCTAATGATTTTCAAAGAGATAGAAATGATGACATTGTCATCCTTTGACAATTGACATCCCAAGGAAGGAAACTTCTGTGCTCATGTCATAGGGACATTTGTCACATTGAGTTACTCTTTCTGGCCTTTCACTCTCTTTCATCTTTCCCTGGGCAACAGTGTAAGATGTGCATAAGATCCATTCTGTTCAGACTTTTTCTACTATCTTCTCCTCGGGAACCAATGCAAAGTTCCTATTTGTCACTTTTATGCACAAGCAGAGAGTGGTTATCCTGAATTGGTGAAATCTTTGAGACTCTGCTATTAAGAGCATTTTCAACCCATGCCCTCTTAGCTCTGTGGGCTCCCCCAGTAAGTTCATGGACAATGGAAGTGAAAAAAGGGAATCAACTCATCAGGAAAGATTACTCTATAGAGCACAAACTTTGGGTTCTCTTTTTTGAAGTGTTTCTGTGTTCCAAGTCTTATGGAGAAAGAAACAGAATTGGTGGAGGCCCTTTGCCCCAACCATGACAGAAACTTAAGTCAATTCTACAACCAACTTCTTTTTTCTTTTATTCCATTTTATGTATTTGGTACAGGGTCTCACTGCAGCTCAGACTTGTAGTGGTCCTCCTGTTTTCAGCCTCCTGCCTGGACTCATTCACTGGCTCAGCATGCCCCAGGGTCAGGGCCGGTGCAGCATGCGGGTCTGGGGATCAAACCCTGGTCCCTGTGCTTGCCAAAGCAGGTGTTTAGTCTGCTGAGCTATCTCGCCAGCCCTCTACAACAAAATTCTGATCAAGTGACACATATACAGGAAATACGTTGGTGCTATTTTAGTATTCTGGTTAATTGGGAACTAAGTAGCACCTGGTGAATGTAATTAAATCTTTCTTTGATAACTGAGAATTTTGCAGTACCCTGGAGTGATCGCTCTAAATATCAATTCTAAATCTCCTCTGCTGGAAGCAACTTTCAGACCAACTGCAGGACATTAATTTGCACTCAGTCCCTCCTGCCAACTTACTACCATCCTCTTTTCCTAAACAGCTAGTTCAAAGGAAATTCTGTTTATTACAAGCTTCTTCTAGGCATTTTCATCACAGTTTATCGGGATTTCCACACAATTGTTCAGAAATTAGAAAGACTCAGAATGTTGACGTGGCACATCTATCAAATCATCCACCCAGAAGACATATTTTGCAAACTTTTTTTGAGGTCTAGCCTCACCTTCAACATCCTTGGCTCAGATGTACTCTCTCTGCATGCAGCAGGTAAAGGGAGTCAAGAGATCCTAAGTGAATTGGATTTTGAAGTTTATCAGTGCTAGCCCTAGTTACTCTACTAAACAGTCAGATCACACTAAGGAATCTACTTCACTTCTAAAACTTGGTTTCTTGTCTGTATTCCTGTATACCTAGCAGTTGGGTTTATTAACACTTAATCTTTAAAAGAAAAGAGATCTTTTTTCTCTTTTTTCACCAAGGGTTGAACTCAGGACCTTGCACTTGTCAGGCAGGCATTTATGCCACTGAGCTATATCCCTGGCTCAATAGATCTCTTTGTAATCACAGGAAAATTAAAGAAGATTTTCATAACTAGGAAAATATGCAAAAAAAAAAAGTTCAGTCTAAATGGGAGCATGAGTTCAGGAAGCTTTTGTATAGGTTTGTGATCCCTGTACACAAAGTTCATGTCTAGAAATCCTGGCATGGAAGACCCTTGGATCTCTCTGAACCCTGCCATTCTTTGAATCTGGTTAAGCACCTTTGCAAGTCTATAGGGCCAGGGTCCTCAATTTGAGCTGCACATTAAGGCACCTTCAGGATTTCAAACTTCCAGTGCTCAAGGTGTTATCTAGACCAATGGAACTCAGATCTTTGGGGCTGGCTCCCAGGCATCAGCACTCATTAGTACTCTCTAGACAAGATTGCAAAACCACTTGTCTTCAACAAAGATTCTAAAAATTAGCAGTGAATAGAATCACCATGAAAACACAGGCTCTTCCCAACAGGGATTCAGATGCGCATAGGACCCTACCTGAGAATCTGTACTGTTAGCCAGCATTCCCAGGCCATCCTGACCCAGAATATAATTTGGAATTGCCCTAGTAGAGCCATGTAGCAGAAGCCCAGGGGGGAGTCCCCTCCCCAGCTACCCTTTCCTCCCAGATAGCTCTACAAGCTCCCGGCAGATCTCCAGGCCTTGTCCAGGGATGATTATAATATATCTCCTTCATTGTCCAGATAAGCTTTTTTATCCCCATCTTTTCCACCTTTAGCAAACCTGGATCTTTTAGCCAGAGCCTCTGATCCCACTGGTTCAATAATTTAAGCAGAGCAATCATCAACATTGTTGTGCTTAATATTTAAACACCATCACATCACTTAGGTCAGCTTCAAGGTGAGAGCTGACTCCTATTCAATTGCCTAGTTAGCAAACCGAGCCACTGGCTGCCAGAGGGGAGTGTGTATACATGACTCCTCTGACCCAAGCCAGCCAGGCAGAAACCCAGCCCGCCAGGTCCTGCGCCCTCTTACCCCTTCCTACCTGAAGCGTACTCAGCAGGACTTGCAGCCCACTGCCTTCTTCTTCTGCCATCCCTTCCTGGGTCCAGGGGCACTGGCTGCCTGAGGCCAGATCCGGGCTGAAGAGGGAACGGCTGCCAAGCTGACCTCGCTGCCTGCCTCAGCCACACAGAGGCCTCAGCTGCACATGCTGCGGAGGGCAAAATCACCACTGTGCAACCCTAGACCTCGGCATAGGCGTGGATGCCCCCAACTCCCACTGTGGGGATTAGGTGAGCCCCAATCCTGGGGACGGCTGAGCATTTGGGCACAGGGGTGGGGAGAGCACCCACATGAGTCATTCACTCACCTCAGGCCCACGCAGGAGCCAGGCGGAGGAGAAGCCACCTTGGATGGCTGACAGGCATTCCCAGCTGACCTGGTCAGACTCCCTCCAGAGGCCCGCTTTGCCCTCCCCACTGCCTCCCCCCTTTATTTTGGTCTGTTGCCGGCTCCCGCTTGTAACAGGAGATTCAAGAGTGCTTGCACAACTGTGGCAGATCAGGGCAAAGGAGCCCAGGGCCCCCTGAGGTTCCAGGCTTAGGGATAGGAGCTATGACTGAGAAGGAAAATAACTACTAGGGGCATCTTGTTATGGACCACATCCCTTACCAAATCTTCTCCTTTTCACAGTAACCCACAGAAGTAGGTTTTATTATTAGCACCATCACTTTCCAAAGGAAAAAACAATGAATGCAGTTTGAGAGCATGTGGCAGGCCTTAAGCAGACAAGCTGTCACCAGTGCACAACACTAACCATTACACCACCAGAAAATGTATTAGGCCAAGTAACAGAAAGCTAAAGAGCTTCTGCCAGTAGGAGATAGAGCTCCCAGGTAATACCTCCCACCCCAGTGCTGGGCATCTTCCTGTCATCCAGAGGACCAAGCCGGTGACTGCCCAAGCTGAGTTATGGCACCACTGAGGACAGAGAGTTTGCATTTCCAGATCTTATGGGGCTTAAGTGTCCTGAAACTCTGAGTCAGAGGTCAGGCCTGGCCAAAGCCTCAATTCAAGGACACATTCCTGTGATTCCTGACCTCAAGACACTTCCATTCTTGATGGCTTCTACACCTCCTAATACCTATGATGACAAGAGCAGAAATCGATCTCCTTGGCCTTCTGTGAGAGGGTGGGGCTTTTCAGGGCCTGTGTTCTGTGGTCTTCTAAGGTGTGGGGACAAGGAAGGTTGAACTGCCCCATGTGATGAACTTAACGTCTGCTCACCCCTTGGTTGTCAGTGGAGAATGAAGAAAAAGCAGAAACAGAAGAAATGATAAAGCCCCTTCCCAATATATACGTAAAAATGATTTAAAGATAAAAATACTTTTAGAGTGTAAAGTCCTAAAAATGACCTCTGAGGAGAGAACCAAAGGCCCTGTGGTCCTCCTTACTGAAGTTTCCACTTTAAAAGATGTCTTGTTTCAGCTCACAGCAATTGCACAGGAAAGAGGTGAAATGAAACCCTATCCATAACAGATTCACTCTCCTCTACTTAATGACCTCTTTCCCCTTGCAGTGCCAAGAACTTGGTTTTCCACAAACCCCTTGTGAAATAAGGTAGGGTGAGGGCTCCTTCCTTCTCTGTGGCCACACCGGCCTCACATGCCCAACCTGGCCATCGGTCCCAGGACTTCTCTCCAGGAGAATCTCCATGATGCCAGACAAGGGACAGAGAGAGGGCTGGGCCTCACCCTCTGATTCCCTAACAAAATTAGGGTGCAGATCTAGCCCCCTTTTTATTTTAAAGAGAATAAAAATAAGAGGAAAAGAATAATAAAAATGATACAGAATTTTAAATCAAGATGATACTAAATTACAATGGTTGTAATATTCATATTGTTATCTTCAAAGCAGTTGTTCAGACTACCAGATATAGGTATGCAACATTGATCAAACAATTAAGAATTGATTGTTCCTTGCAATGAACTAATAGAAAAAAGTATAACAATGATCTTAGCTAGCTTGTGTGTATATTTTTTTCCTTTCTTTCATTCTTTCCTTTCTTCTCTTTTCCTTTCCCCCATCCCAGTCACTCTTACCTTTTGAGCGGTTACATTCCCTTTCACAATATCTATTGTGCCTTTTGAATTTTATTTACTCTTCTAGTTTCTTTCACAAGGGAGACAGTACAATGTTTGCACATGTGAGTCAGATTTATTGCACTTGTAAGCATGATCTCTAGTTGCATCCATTAAAAAAGCTTCGAGTTCATCTTTCTTTATAGCTGAGTAAAAGTCCATTGTATAAAAATACCAGATCATTTTTATGTACTCCTCAGTTGATGGACATGTGAGTTTTTTCCACAATATAGCTATGACGAATTGTGCTGCTACAGCCGTGAGTGCACATGTATCACTGTAGTGTGATGTTGTCCACTTTTCTAGAAAAATACTGAGGAGGGGAATATCCGGGTCAAGTGGGACCTCTAATACTAATTTTTTGAGGCATCTCCATGCTGATTTCCACAAAGGTTGTACCAGCCTTTCTCCGCAGAGTCTCACTAGCATTTGTTATTGGTTGATTTTTTCCTAATTCTGATATACATTTTAATTTTTTAAAGAGTACAAAATAGTGGGCCGGGGAGATGGCTCAGTGGAATAAGCACTTGCCTGGCAAGCGCAGTGGCCTGAGTTCAATCCCCACTTCTGAAAAAAAAAAAAAAATACAAAATAGTAATACAGAGGGCAGGGAGATGGCTCAGTAAAATAAGCACTTCCCTGGCAAGCACAAGGGCCTGAGTTCAATACCCAGTTTAAAAAAAAAAAAGGCAAAATAGTAATGCAAAAATAGCATTAGCAAGGATACAAAATTTCACTAAACAAAGTAATAAGAATTCAGAAATGGTCGCTGTATTGCATGATGTTATCTTCAAATTCGTTGTTTAAGTTACCAAATATAAACATGCAAAATTGGTTAAGAAAATAGCAATGAAATGTTAGGGCTGGAGAGACAGCTTGGTGTCATAAGCACCTGACTGGAAGTGCAATGTCCTGGGTTCATTCCCCAGTACTGCGTGCCATATTGGCTCTGGAACCCTGCTGTGCTCCACTGGACATTATGACCCGTGCCTATAATCCCAGCACTAGGGAGGCTAACTCAGGAGAATCACTACAAGTCTGAATTGTGTAGTGAGACCTTGTATCATAAAAGAAAAATAAAAAATGAAAAGTTATAAGAAACTAAAAAGAAAAAATTAACAATAAAAAGAAAAAAATAAATACTAACTGCTCCTTTCAAAAGATCAGCCAAAATTGGCAACACAATTATCCAAATTATCCTGCATATATACATAAATATATCTTTTTTCCCTTCTTTCCTTTGTCCTTTTCCTCATTCCAGCTTTTCCTTAATGATAGCCATTCTTTCTGAGGTGAGATAGAATCTTGGTGTTATTTTAACTTGCATTTCTCAAATGACCAATGACATTGAACATTTATTCATATATTTATTTGCCATTTGTATTTCTTCATCTGAGAAGTATATATTCATCTTAGATGCTCATTTTTGGATTGGGTCTTTGAATTTGGGGGATTTTTTTTTAATCCTTTATTTGTTATAGATGGAAGTCCTTTGTCTGAGAGATAGTCAGATAATTTTTTTCCCAATTTATGAGTATTCCTTTAAATCTGTTGGTGATTTCTTTGGATATGTAAAAGCTTTTCAATAAGATGAGATCCCAGTTGTTGATTCTTCAAAGTATTTCCCATATAGTTTGGTTTTTGTTCATGAAATCTCTGCCTACCCCTATGTCTTCAAAATTTCTGCCTACTCTCTCTTCCAGTAGATTGTTTCTGATTTTATACTTGGCTCTTTGATCCACTTTGGCTTTAGCTTAGTGCATGGTGATTCATATGGGTCTAATTTTAGTCTTCAGCATGTGGAAAGCCAGTTTTTCCAGCATTATTTATTTCCAATAAATATGTTTGTTTGTCCCCTTTGTCAAAAATGGGGCAGCTGAGTGTGTTTGTAGTTGTGTCTGCATATGCTAAGCTGTTGCACTGGTCATCAGGTCTGGATTTTTGCCAGTACCATGCTGATTTTATCACAGTAGCTTTGTAATATAATTTTAAGTCAGGGATTGCGATGCCCCCGGCCTTGCCTGTGTTGCCCAGGATTGCAGTTGGTCTTCTAGGTCCCTTCTGGTTCCAGATGAATTTTAGGACTGCTTTCTGTAGAACAGATCTGGCTTTTTCTGAGCTGTCCATCAAACCTTTAACACTGTGCCCCTCCTACCTCAATAGATCCCTGCTCCCTAGCCTGGAGCAACCTTCTTCTCCCTCTCTCATGCATAGGCGAAGCCTCCGTAGTTCCATCATCCAAGCTTCTCTCTCCTCCACACTGTCTTACTGGCAGCCTGGATCTATTAGTGAACTGACTGACTTAGGTGGAAGTGTATGGTGATGATAGGAAAATGCAATGCTTTTCCCCAGATACCATTTCAGTTTTGGCAGACACTTCACTAAATAGTGGGAGATGAAACCCAAGCTTGAAATTCTCCTGGATAATATGACATCTTACCCGAAAGTGGGCTAAAATGAGTACTTGCTAAACTACATGGGGGGTCCCGGGGGGAGGGCATCCTTTGGGCAGACGGGGAAGGAGTCAGAGAAAGACCTACTTGTTTCATAGGATATCCTTTCCTGGAAAACTTTAGAGAAACATTAAAGCAGAAACTCAGAATACTGTACTCTGGTTTCAAAGACAAACACATTTAATGTTGCCCAGAGATTCCTGTTGCAGCTGAGCAGTCCTGAGGAGAACCTATGGTTCACTATCATGCTGGAGTGACTCCCAGAACTCCAAAAAGCTCTCATACTCACAGTCATGGCAATTACCAGCGTAAGGGTATGAGATAGCAGTCAGCAGAGGGAAGATTGCATGGTCCCCCAAGAGTGACCAAGAATGAGTTCCCAGTTGTCCTCTCCTGATGGATTTGTGGGGACAGCACTTATTCTTCTGCAATGATAAGCATGATACAGACAGATTCTTGACAAGCAAGGAAACTCCCCTGAAGCTCCTATCCAGGGTTTGTATCAAGGGTGGCTCATGCAGACAAGGTCACCCCAACACAGCTGACCTTAGGCTCCAGCCTCTCCACAGGTCAAGGTGATACCACATGATCCAAGAAGCCTACCACATATCCCTCTGTTAGAAGAGCCTGTTAGCATGATTCCAAGGCTTCAGGTAAACATACTC